ACATAAAGACAGTTTTTTTTTTTAAATTGTTTAAAATTCGCGTTATTAGGTTATGATAAAATTAATTAAGACACAAATTCAAAAAAACATTAAATTTTGTTAATATTTCATCACTTAATAGTTTCTCCTCGAACAGTCAAAATTTTTGATATAATTTCATACTTATAAATTATAAATTAAGTAATTTTATTTAGATTTATTGTATAACATGTTATTGTGAATGGTCACAGTCGGTGAATGCTGGCAAGTAGTAGCCACTGGTGAATGTTTACATTTATCAAAATTATTAATACATTTTACAATATTATTTAAAATATTTCGTAGTATCTGTACTATATTATAACATACTGGTTGATAATTTTAATGAAATGCAGGTATTACCACTCTCAATTACCTACGTATCTATGTTAACATCAGAAATCAGTTTTAGTGTGTAAAGAAAATTTAACATAAATTAATAAGTCTTAGTTAACCAAGAAATTTCAATGCGATGAACATTCGCTTCTAATTTAAAAAGTACCTAATTGGGAAGAGGTAATAGGTATACACGCGTTGCAATTCAAAACGAAGTGCACCAAAAAAAATGTATAGATAGTAAAAATATTGACATTATTTGTGTGATATAAAATATCATAGTTGTATTTGTATTATAAATATAAATATATATAGATATTATATTTTTTTTTTTTAATTTCATTGTTGCAATAACTGAAACTATAATTAATTTATAATATTCTCACCATTTTTTAAAATAACAATTTGTAAGCAAATAAAATATATAATAATAAATCTACTTAATAGTAAAAGCTAAATAAATATATAATTATAGTTATTATATACTTTTATTGTTCAATAAAATTGGTATTATTTTATATAGTATTAAAATATTTTGTTAAAAACATATGTATTTATATTAACATTAACACATTACACAACCCATGTTTATTGAAACATTTATAAATATATACTAAACTGATCATGTAAAATATGTTGACATAATTATTTTCCACAATTCAGGTTATATTTTGGACATTCACCGATGATTATCAGCATTTACCATACTGTGGACATTCATATAGTAGTAAATCTTATGAAAACACTATGAATGTCAAAGATCTTTCCATACTATTTATGACACGTCTGTCGTCAGTATACATATTTTAATCAAGAACTTAGTTAAAAACGAATTTTGAGATGGGGAGAGGGTTAAATTTTTTTTAAAACTTACGTTACATAATACAATAGTTAATTATTTAATATTTTTCTACTTTTGAAAATGTTTATAGAGAAGGGGTATAAATCCCTAGTTACGGTCTTGATTACAATTTATTTTATGTAAAAATATTTGTTCAATACTTGATATAGGTAATAAAAATATTGAGATAAGTCGATATCGGTCGGCGTCGCCGTGCCGAGTCGTTTTATCTTCAGTTTACCGTCAACTTTAGTGTAGACTCATTGTGGTGTTTTTTCAACTGTCAAATAGTAAATCCAAACCGTCTTTTGATTAAATATAACTGATGTGGTTAAAGTAAAAAAAATATATAAAAATAAAAAGGCATTGTGTGTACGAATCGTTAAAATACAATTTAAAATTTTCCTTTATTTTAACTAAATATTCTCACAAAGGTGCCTCGACAATATTAGTTAACTTACCAAATTATTAAAAAACCTCTAATAACACAAGATTAATAAATATACTCGTCTATTTTGGTCAGAATCGTTTTTTTATTTTTATTTTTACCATTAAGTAGATATTTGATTTCAAATTTAATACAACCATTACAATGACACGCTATAGATATCTTATTAAATTTAATATTTTTCATTTATATTTGTATCTATGTAATATAATATTATAATAATATGTGCAATATGTACTTAATATTATATTATTGAATATATGAAGGTATACATAATATTTAGTATTAATAATAAAATCATTTTAATTTTGGCAGTTTTAATAATACCATTGATTATAGAATAGACTATTCTATAATCAATGATAATACGGAACAATTTTTCGAGTAAATATACTTAAATAGTGCCTTTTGCTGACGTGAAGGAAAAAATAACTGAAGCGATTAAAAATAATACATAGAAATCGAGCATTCGTGCTTATACGAGGAATTTCATTAACAAATAATATTATCTATACGTTGATACGAATGAATTCCATCAGTGGTTAAAATATTTGGAATTATGAGAACTATTTATTTTTTAGGCAGTGTTAAATATGTATATTGTATAGTATATACCAACTTGATATGTATAATGTATGTAGAATATACAATATACATAGGGATATAAACTTAGTGGTTGTATTTTAAAATTGTCATAATCTATAGAAAATATAAATAAATAATAAAAAAAACAATTTATTGACGATACGCCTTTGCGTGTATGCCTACGACTGAAACAGTGAATTTTCGAAGTTTTAAAACGACATAATGTAGCGTGAATTTAGTTTCGGTCGACCGACACTGTCGCAATGCTAGGAAACTACGATATTTCGTCGTCACGAACATTGCAGCCTTAGTCTGGACCGCAAAATATTATATAATGCGAGTGCAGCCGAACCAAGACACTTCGATCGATCGCGGGGACGTGACGACGTGTATAGACCATAATACAATTTTATTTTATAGCTGTCGTCTTGTCACATTTATCCTGCACATCTATACTGCACAGCCCGTTAATAATAATTTTTCCAGTACAATATTTTTGAAATAAGGTTTTTAAAAAATTATAATTTGTACAACTATTACTATAAAGATATGTGGTAGTGGTTAGTCCTTATGTGTATTTTTCCAAAGATACGAGTTTGCTAACCTATAAGGATGATTTTTGTAAATACCTTCGTAAAAACTATTCAAAAGTGAACTTTCAATTACTAAGACTTTAAGAGCCCTGATGGTGTAATAATTGTGAAATATTAAATGTCAGACACGTAGATAGAAATAATATTGTTATTAATTATTATGTATAGAGCACGTAAGTCGCAAGCAGTCGAATAAAAATAATCAGAAGCGCAGTTTTTTTTTTTTTTTTTCGTCGAAATTGAGTAATATAACATTAAGTTTATTAGATATAGCTGCGAGATTATCGGTTACTGATTATCATGATAACCTTAAGTTAATCGAATAAAATATAATGTACTAAGACAAGTGTACTTAAATACTTATCATTTACAATAAAAATGAATTTTATGATTTTCTCTTCTCTGATATATTATTTTATATTTTTATATCATCAGTTATCATATTATAATTATTATGTAACTGATATTCTGATAGATTTTCTAATAAGTTTTGCTAATTTAAACCATTATTGGTCTAGAGCGGAGTCTTAATATTTCATAAAATTTAATTTATGCAAAAACTAAAAATAAATTTTTAATTAAAGAAAAATCTTTAATATCTAATTATAAGCGATTAGAACTAGAGATATTTAAAAAAATATGTTTATTGTATAACGAAAAATGTTAAATAAAATTAAAACTTACAAGTTAACACAAAAAATGGAAGCTCTATTATTACATCTGTGTAAAAATAATCCATAAATACTTGAAATGTTCACTAAATGTTTGTGTAATCATTTTTAATATATAATAAAATTTTCAAAATATTTCGACTATTAATAGATATTTATAAATATTTAAATTGTTTAAATTATTTAAATTTTATTTCTATAAATTTTGATAAAAGTTTTTGGTTTAGTTAAATTTTCAACTTAATACTAGATCGTCTAGATTCCATGTTAGTTGCTCTTATCGATGTGTAAAAATATTTCAAATCCATAGACACAATTTATTTTTATTAGTTTTGAAGTCAAAAATTCGTAAATTTTTTGCAGTTGAATATAAAATTATAAATCAAAGAGTTTTATAATGATAAAAATAATACAAAAAGATAAATTTATGAGAAACATATTAAATTTTCAAGCATTTTAATCCTGCAGCAAGAAAATATTTTTATTGGCGTATTAATAAAAAACTAAAATAAATTAAAAACGTTTAATATCTTATAAACAAAAAAATATATTCAAATTTTATAAAGTATTTAATATTATATTTATAGGAAAAGATAATACGTATAAACATTTGACGAATTATTTTTTTTTGAGTTACTCTATAACGACAATGTCGATTTCGTCTAAAACAGGAATTGAATAAAAATATCTTTTTTTTTTAATTACTTAGTTTTTTACAGTTATTTTAAAATATATTAGGAATACTTTCTTTTAAGTTCTAACCCTTCATATTATCAATTAGATTCAATTTTCTACCAGGAATACCTTCAAAGCAGAAATTCAAAGCATTTTTACTGCCAAAAATACGGTTTTACACACAAAAATAAAAAATACACTATCATTGTAAAATCAATACGTTCAGAATCTAAAATAAAAATATCTCATTATATTATGTAGACACGTAGACTGATTTTGTCTGGAAAGCAGTTTTTTTTTTTGCGTTAGACGACTTTATGATCGGTTGCAACAATATGATATAATATAATATAATATTATGTCTTTGTATTTTTTTTTTTATTGTTATTATTATTGTTGTTGTTGTTTATATACATAATACATTATCATTCTTTTATCGACCTTGGGCGGCGTTAGCAGCGATCTCTAACAGAGTTCGCGTGTACCGTTCAACGCATCACGCCACACACTATCGTCGCATAATGCACAAAATACAAAATACGAATAAACATAATAATAATAATAATAAAATAACGAAAAAAATACGATATACTTGAAATTTACGGGTATAATCGTTATACCTGTACGATACGTCTTACCCGTCCTCTTATCGATGTACATATTATTATTATAGTGCACAGGCGGTATTGTTATTCACATTTCCGCGGAACCTCGTCGGCGGCGCCGAGATCCCCTTCTCCGCGATTACGTCGAGAGCCCTCCTACCCCCCGCGCGCACCGGCGCACGGTGTTATAGACCTAACGGCCGGTCGACCGGCTGCCAGTAACAGTGTTCGCTTAGCTGTTGTTTGTAGGGCGCTGCTCGTGCACGGCCCCAGTTCTGACTTGCATCATAGCTGTTATTTGTTTTTCCAATAGTTATTATCATCGTTTTATTCCACCGGTGTGTGTGTGTGTAGTAAGACGTGCGCGCACGCGACAGTGTTATAAATATTGCAGAACAGTAATAATATCATTTCCGGTGTATAAGGTTTTATATTGAATATAATAACAATATAATAAATACCATTCCTGCGTTTTAAGACTATATTATAATAAATAAAGTTCTTCGTGGAACCCGGCGCTCGATTTTTGCCAACCCGGTGCGAGAAAACCAACGGTGCATACACCGCAATGCATTTCGTCAACGACGTGTCCAAGTTCCTTTACAGCAGTCTCAAGAACGAATCGAGCAGGCTCAGGGTACGTATCTCGTCCAGCGACCTGCTCATACGCATTCCTATACTATATCGCGAGTATGCAATGTTCATGTGGGATTTGATTTTCAGTTATGTACTCGTACGATTTATAAATTAGCCTTCATTTGAATTGGCTTTTTGTTGTTTTTTTGTCGCCTAAATCTTGCCCACCGATATCCGAAAAACGCGAATATTTTATCCGAAACCCGTCGACGGGTTTAATGGCCGATGGGGTACGTAGAAAGGTGTAAGTTCCAGGGTTATTGTCCGCCGACGACTATTGCAATATTTACTGTTTTCCCGCGCTCCACATTTCACCACTCGTAATAGCCACGAACCGTAATTATGACGGTACAATATCGTTATAGTTCATTATTTATTCCGACCATTTGCGAACCACCCACACTATACTGAACAAAACGCGTGTGCTATACGAATTGTGTACGACGTATTGTTGTCGGTAAGGTTAATGCGATCGAAGTTAATGTTATTATTCCTTGTACATACATAAATGTCATTACTCTTATTAGATTGTAGTTATGCGCCACACAATATCTTTTTCAATGACCATCAAGTATATGTATATCAACAGGTTATTTTATTATTTACGTTGAGCTACCATAATCCTTGGGTTTGACCGATGCAGATTGCCGTGTATACCTCTATGATTTCTCCTTCGCACGAGTACGTCTTTTTCTCAAGATCGCCCAAATCCATAATTATTAGTTATATTAATGACAGATTTGCTCTGCGTGTGTATATGTGTGTCTTAATCCTTGGACAAAGTATAATATAATAATATAGGAATAGTAGTAATTATACAAGCGTCGTGGTCACCGGTGAATAGGATTATTTAGAATTTATACGGACCTTGACTGATCGATATAAAATAACGTTTTGTGTTTGTGTATCAGTGCAGTTACGATTGGATAATTAAACAAAAATATATTCCATGTTCGTATTATTGTTCTTTTTAAATTTATAGTCGCATAAAAACATTATATAGAAATTATATTATATTATCGAAATTTCAATTATATGTACACAGTATTCATACTTCTTTACATATTTAGACAGTAGTTTTGTTCACACGCTTATGACCTATTCACATCAATCTATATATTATGTACCTATATTATAAAATATACAGGCATAATAAATAATAATCATTTTTTGTTACATACATTTTTACCTATTGTTATGCGAATCGTCATTAAGATAACAAGGATTATACCTGGTACTCAATCAAAAAACTAGGATATTAACAATTGACATATTAAATAGGTATAATGTTCATAGTTTATATCTATTGGTTATTATTTGCACAGGATTGCTTATCAAAATATGTTCTGAACAAGTCACTAAAATATACTTAAATTGTTTGTACTTCCTGCCTAAAGAAAAATATTATGCCCATGAATTTGGAAATGTTTCAAGTAGATTTGGCTTTCGTCAAGGTTAATCCAATCTTAACTGATGTAAGATAGTTATTAGGTAAATACTATTAAACCGTTGCGTCGTTATCGTTTCTTCGTTTGATCTAACATTTCCTCATTAATAATATTTATTAAATTTTTTTATTCCTTTTTATTAAATATATATATAATAATTTTTGTTTTATGGTTGGTTTTGCAATTCATTAAATATTTGCATCAAATTTAACACTATATATATTTTTTGGACAATAATATTTAAGTAATTTGTGTTTTATACTAAAAATATAGAGTTGACTGAAAATTATTCGGACACCCGCGGTCTGCCTTTACTGATATTATTTCAATCGTACAGATGATTTTATTTTCTTCGAATTTGATAAAATAATAATTATTTGTGCGTGATAATAAAATAAAGTACTTGGTATTTATAGTTTGTCAAAAAGTTGAAAGGTTAAGTTAGTTTCAGAAACCATAAATATGTGCTAATGTACCATGTATTCCAGTGTTTCTCAACCTTTTTTTCTTATGACAATCTACAACCCTGCAAAAAAATAAAAAGACTTACTTACTAAGAATAATAGTCACCGCAGTTAACAAGCTCTCTTAACAATAATCTATCAAGCGGCTATTTGAGTATTAAAAGTGTCTCATTGTCTTGTTTGTTGAGAAGTGCTAAACTCTTAAATCATAAATATGATTTAGAATTAGAATATAACGTCATACGTTTTTTGTAAACTATTAATACTTACTAATATGCTTATAACGAGAACTCTTATGATCATATTTGACGTAATCAGCATGTCATCGTGTGTCAATTAACAATATTAACATGTACCAATTTACCATTGAGGATATAAGCAATAAAATACTCATTAGTATTCTCAAAAACGTTTTGTACTGCATTTCTAATATTTTATGTTATTAAAGTAGTAGGTATTTGAATTTTTGAAGTATCATCTTTACACATGAATAATACTAATAATTAGTTAAGTGGAAATTTTTACATTTAAATTATTATATGCTTTTCAAGATAACCTTTTCGACTTGATACATAAAAACACTAAAAACAAATCGTTTATTACGAATTAATAATTCTTTGAACATTGATTTGTTTGAAAGTTTTAACGATCCTTTCAATATCATTTTTTTTTCAGAACCTCCACTTGATTGTAAACGGTTAAATAGATACTTTCAAGAACGAAAAAGTTTTGTGAAAATGAATATTGAAAAAACTGAACCATCATATATATATATATATATATATTTCTATGATATTATTTTTGTATTTCTATTATGCAAAGGATAAATGACAATTACATTCTAGTAAACATATTAATATTTCATATTCTTACTAATAAAATGTTTTAAAAATAGCGTATCGCTAAATGTTACAATATTATATAATCGTGTATCCATCGAAAAATAAAATATTAGTTTTGTTCGTAAAGCATAATCTTAATATTATATTCATACAGGCATATGGCCTATTAAATAGTGTATTCATAAAATCGGTTTTCTTATACACACACTACTAAACTTCTTTCATTTAGTAGTGTTACTGACTTAAAATAAAAAGTGTAATATTGCGTCTAGTTTGATGATTACATCTAAAGTTTTAAAACGCGGTTGTTATTAAGTACAACTGTTTGGTAGATGTCATTATGTAAATATTGATATTATCTTCAAATGACATGATTCAAGTATATCACATAATTTCATACTTAAATTATTATATTTTCCACGTATAAGAGATTGAGTAATGTTAGTGAGTACCTATGGTTATATATTGCTTTTTTACCTAAAATTTCAAACATACATAATTCTTATATTAAATATCTACGTACCTATATTTTTTCATTATTAAACTTCAAAAAAGTGTATATCGTTAACCCTAAAAAATACTATAGCTAACTATAGGCATATTATTTACCTCGTACCTTAAAAGTATAAAAAAATAAAAATCATACTTTCGATCAGTTAGGTATTATATTCACGTATTCACGTGTATTACACTTTTAATGCGCCAAATTACAATTATTTTCTAATAAGTATGTTATACATTTTTTAAAGAATCGACTTATTATTATCTTAACCCTGTAAATCAAATTTGTTACACATCGTTTATAGGTACTGTAAATCTATTTGAAATAATGATCAATTAAGTACCACTGTATTAATAATAAAAATAACGAATTTTTGTATAGACTGATATTACCTTATGGATATATTTTTAATTTTATGTGACCATGAAAGCAACTGTATAGTTATATTAGTTATATTTTTATTTCACTCAGAACTGTCAATGCCATTATACTCGTACGTTGAACGGATACGAGTAGACGAGATCTAATACAGTAAACATATTATATAGTAATATTTAAATTCCTGAATTTTAAGTAAATATTTTATACTGTTAATCGTACGGAGTTTGGTTACAACAACAAATAAAACGAACACGTGACCTCTAAAAAGTAACTTGGTATGTTTTCAATAAGTTCTGTTGACCCTGATCGAGTTCATGACTTCTTCATTTTAACAACACACACCGATCTGCAATTTTACATATTTAATACAATATATGAAAATCGTTTATTCCTTGTGTTTGACAATTGTATAGGAATGCACCAGTACTGTTACATTATTCGCGCGTCTTGTAATTGTAAGTAAGATAATTTTACAATTGATTTATGAGTCAATGACTCTTAAATTATTCCTTTTGATGATATGTTCACCAGCCGTCTATGTAGAAGTATTATTTAATATCAATTGTATGAAATTTATAGATTTTATGAAATATTAAATTGACCTAAGTGTCGCGTAATAAAATTATACATTAATTGATAAAATTCTTTTTTTTCCGCATTACATATTGATATGTTCGAATTTAAAAATATGTTTTTATTTTATAGAGCTATGCGGTGAATAGCGTTTACAAGTATCCGACTAAAGTTCGAGTCGTTGAAGTAGGACCGAGAGACGGTCTACAGAACGAATCTAAAAACATTCCAACGGACGTTAAAGTAGAATTCATCAACAGACTGTCTGCGACAGGACTTAAAAACGTTGAAGCTACTAGGTGAGTGACATATGTTTAATAATATAATAGCCACGGTCATCGTATAGAATGTAACGTACATTTTATTTGTAACCTGCTGTTACGAGCACTAATGGTGCTAACCATATTATTATAACTTATACTATATGTAGATACTACTTATTGGCAATTGCGTTTATTTATTTATTTATATGAATATACTTATATATGAAATATATCCAAGGTTCATTTTGATTTTAGTTTCGTTTCACCAAAATGGGTGCCGCAAATGGCTGACCACTCAGAGGTGTACAGTAAGATCGACAAAGTGGACGGTGTGTCGTATCCGGTGCTGGTACCAAATATGCGAGGTCTACTCACAGCCGTACGTATACTTACGAACTCATCCGACGCACGCATTTCGTATGTTCTGATTTAATGTTTCGATATCGTTTTCAGATGCAACACGACGTTAAAGAAATCGCCGTCTTTGGTTCCGCTTCTGAAGGATTTAGTCAAAAAAACATTGGCTGCAGTATTGCTAAGAGTCTGGAAAGATTCGAAGATGTAGTTTCCACTGCTTTAGACCACGGTATCAAAGTTCGCGGATATATTTCTTGCGTGTGTGGGTGTCCGTACGATGGGGCTGTATCGCCTCAAGACGTCGCTAAGGTAGTTGACATACATTATACACAAATGTATGAATTGTTTTTTAGATAGGAAAAATATTTTAGTAAAATTGATCTATTTAATTAAACAATCTATTAAATAAAGTACAAAAAAAAAAAAAAAAAACGTATGCCTAAAAACGAATACTATATTTTTTGTATGAAAGTATCTCTGATCACTATTTAAACACAATATTTTATTGGTTTTTTAATAATTTTCAAACATTTCAAATTTATCTTGTATTAGTCAATATCTAGGTAGGTATTCAAAATATAATAATGGATTGATAATTTTGAACGATAAATCCTATTGATATGTTTTGTTATTATTTAATTGAATATGTATAGTAATTATAATTATAAATCCGAGTATCTGACTAACAAAATTGTATTTATGTAAATATTTAGATATCCGACGCGTTGTTCAAAATGGGCTGTTATGAGATTTCTCTTGGAGATACAATTGGTATTGGCACACCGGGCTCAATAAGAGCAATGTTACAAGAAGTCATGGAAATTGTGCCTGTTGAAAATTTGGCTCTCCATTGTCATGACACTTATGGACAAGCATTGTCTAACATACTTACTGCTCTCGAGGTATGCACAATAAACGCTAGCTGTTACTCGAGTCTGTGAAAATAATCAAAAGCTTTACTCCAATGCTTTGACTTGACCTATCCCAAAATTTCTAGTTTTTGGATACACTTTAATATTACATATTATATTTTATGATTACGTTCGCACAGGAAAACTATATTTTTATTGACTTATTCTAAAACATATTTACCTTATATCCTAAGTGCTTTTTGAAGAGAGTTTAATTTGTTAAATAATTGAAATAACACGATCGATTAAATTCACAGACTTCATTATCATATTGATATGTTATTATTACACCAGAAATTTGTCTAGTGGTGCATTAGATCTCTGATATCGTGGAAACTAGTAGGTAAACACATAAGTCGGTAATACAGATAACAGATGTAGAATAAAAATGAATAGTTACAATATGAAAAGTAATTGAAAAAAATTACAGTTTCCTACGTAAGCCTTGGTTTATGCAATCCAAGACCTACGTAGGTGATTATGTGGTTGGGAATTTTAACAAAAAATAATTAAATATTTAGCCCCAATAATTAATAAATAAATATAGTGGTTAGCCACATCACTTAATTTGTATTTGACAATATCAATAGCAGTATATTATTCCTCATAGTATCATATAATATTATAATACAACATTATTTTTCTTGTTTCAGATGGGAGTTTCAGTCTTCGACTCATCGGTGGCTGGTCTTGGCGGCTGTCCTTACGCCAGAGGTGCTTCTGGTAACGTGGCCACTGAAGATTTGATTTACATGTTGCAAGGAATGGGAATCGAAACTGGTGTGGACATGGACCTTTTATTGAGTGCTGGCAGGTATATTTGCGAGGAGTTGGGAAAAAGTACAGAATCGAAAGTGGCCAGAGCGTTGTCCGGAAAAGAAAAACCTATGAAATTCTTGCAATCCTACAAAAATCAAACATCGCTCAAGAACTAACGATCTTCTTAACACCTATAAATTATTTCACTTATTATCATTCGAAATATCTCTATCGTCTTGTGTAATTTAGTGAATTTTTAATTATTTATATAAGACTGAATCTATTACATTTGTCTTGAATGTGACTTTAAACGTAATTTTTTTTTATATTTAACTATCGTTTATAGATGATTTTTATAATATTTTATTTTATTACCGTATTATTATATTCATTATCATATGCATTACACATGGACAAGTACTCGATCATCTGACAATAGGCACAATTCGTGAAAGAGAGATGTACTTGGATCATGAGAGGGTTAGCTCTTAAATACGCTCCTCTAAATTATTTCATCGAATTGCGTCCATTTGTATCACCCAAACTATACGATTTATAAGTATAAACTTCTTTGTTAAAAACAATTTGTGTTTTCCATTCGTGAATGTATTTTTTTAGAGCGATATTATTAAGTAGTACATAATATTATATAATATATTTTTATAAACGATTATTTTTAATAAAGTTAAAATTAAAACCAATAAGTTTTACATATTTATGTATTGCTATGCATGATGAAGTTGCTTATTTTTATGTATTGAAAAATAATTATTTTTAAATTTAGGCCAAAAAATTGAAGAGCAAGAGCAAGTGAATAATTAGCTTTGGTTTATATACGATTTAAGTAGTCATCAAATATTCGTTTAACTAAAAAAAAAAAATCGAAATCGTGTATTTTAATGATTTTAAAGTTTTGGAAACAAGTGTGATAATACATTATAGATAGCTTTTTATTATCCAATTGACGAAGTAGTTAATTATAGTATAGAAGAATAAAAACACAAAGAAATATGTCTGAATAATCAAATTGCATTGATTTTTGTTCTATTCATTAAATAGAGCTATTTATTTATCATTTTTGTTTTAGACATTTAATTAATAATGTTTTTAAATAAACAAAAAGTGTTTATTGTCAAAAATATTTAAAAAATTGCAGAAACAAAACTCAAATAAGCAGATAGTATGTGTATCTATATATACAAATGTATGATTCAGTCTTTTGATGTAGCATCTGAAAATATGGAATTTTATTTTTTTTTTGTTGGTCATGAAATTAAAAATTTTTGTTTCAACTATTAAAGCCATTAGTATTACATTTGTATGATCTACATTTAATAATCACTTGTTTAAAGTACATATTGGTAGAGAAAAAGAAAATAAATAGAAAAAAAGAAAAGTATTAATAGTCAATAGATAATTAAAATAGTTTTGAGATATTATTTATATAAGTATGAGTATTACAATTATAGGTTAGGTATATCTTATATTAGGTTCACTATAGGTTTTAAATAATTCTGGCGTTCAATATAGAAAATTACAACTTTTATAATAAAGTAAATATTTCATATATCTTTTAGTAATAATAATAATCAAAACTTAATTTAAAAGCATCTAATATAAGAAATTTAAAATAGAAATATTTATTATGTTAATTTAATGCTGTGAAAGCGTAATTATTATTTATTTTTATTAAACAACTTGGCCTCGACGTAAATAAAAATAATGTTAACTCTAATAATAGCTTGAAACCTTTAAAAGTGTTTACTACGCTAATTATAATTTTTAACATTATATATGTGCGATAAATTCGTTTTTTTAGATCGGTTGAAAACTCTATGAACTGAATGCATTAAAAATCTATTAAATATATATGCAATTTATTCTACAATAAAAATTAGTTATTTAAACAGTGCATACTATTATCTCATACTATATTCTTTATAAATACTTATATTTATCAACAAAAGTTACAGAAAACAAAAACATAAACAATAAAATGGTACCAAAAATAAAAGTCAAATTTATCAGTATAAACTTTTATTTGAAAACAAAATTTTAGTTTTAGTGGCCAAGCTGCTTATAATACTATAAATAAAAATGTTTAAAAAACATGAGCATAGTTTCCAGAGGTCCTAATGACCTAAAATATGTTAAATATATTTTTGTACTCACACTATACACATTAAGTACACAATACAATGCATTATGTAGTAACAACTAACTATAGTAATGTAAAATATAATTTGTCCAAACTTAATTATTCCTTCTATCTGAGTAACAAAAAAAACCACACGAATACATTATAAATTCACAGCGTTTGCTGAATATTATTGCTCAACAGCTCAATAGAATGAATTAAATTGTTACCTAAATCTAAGAGAAAATGTCATTAAAAGTAAATTAAAATACACAATTAATATAATATTATATTATTACTTATTGGAAGTTTTGTTGATATATATATATATATATAATATAATATACTGCAAAAATATTATGTGATATAATATAATTACTATTTCTAATTAGCAGTAGGTAATTATACAAAAGTTCATAACATGAGGTATGGCCACGTGTTTCCGTTCTGTCACAAAGTAAATTTATAACACTTGTTAGAATGCTAAATTAAAATAATAATTATTCCTATTTCGTGAGAACACATTTTGTGTTTACCACAGAATCCACTTTTCATATTGTGAGATAAGTTTATATGGAAAATAGCACTAACGAAAATATAGTATTAACTACCTTCATTCGAGGAAGGTATACACTACATATACTACTAACTGTTTAGTGAATACAATAGCATTTAAAAATGACAGTTGCCAATTGGTAAGTATGTAGCTTGCATTTCTTTAGCAATCATTTAATTATTTTTACTTTTTGTCAAGCCAACATATTTTACTCAGACACTCAGTTATAATGAACTTTTAATATGTGGAATGATTATATTGTGTTCGTTTATCTCTAATTTCTAACGAATTTTAAATTACAATTATCGGTTGAAAATACGCAATCAGAATATGTGTTTAAGGTGAGATTAATAAACTCTCGAGCAAACTAATCATTTGTTAGTTTTAATAATGATTATTATTATAAAATAATATGCAGTTTATCACAAGGTCGAGTATATAAATAAAACATTCCGGATTTACATTAAAATTGTATTTTAGATTTCTGTAGTATATATATATATTAAGTAGTTTTAAAAATTCCAATCCCCACCAAACTTACTGTGCATAAATTAATTAGCTTAAGACTTATTTGAGTTTATGCGGTCCAAATTTGGATGAAGTAATTCAAAGTTTGTATTACTTATGTACACGCTTTCCAAATGATTTATTTACACATGATAATTAATTCACCTTGGTTTGTCAGTATCCAACTTCCACACTGGCTTTAAACTTATAGCAGTTTACCGATATTAACCAATAATCACCACTTTAAAATGATTAAACTATACAAACAATAAAATCATTACACGATAACCTATATAAATTCTGAACATCGACTAAAAATAAAATATTCTAGAACTTATACAGTAGAAAACTATTGAACTAAAATACCTAGTAAATGTATACTATTATAAATATTAAACAAAAAAATCATGTTGGGTTTTATCACTGAATGGTTTCCTTCCTCATTATATTTCGTTGCTTATCTTTATTGTAAATGTATTACATATTACTTATATTATATATTAAAAAATGATCTTATTTTTTTATTGTGCTAAAATACAAATCATAAATATTATTTTATTAGATAAAAATAAAAATAAATTGATTTATTATGTAAAATTAAACTCGTATAAAATAAAAAATTCGAACACTTATTAAAAATTGAAATTAAAAAGTCTACACGGGTCGACAAAAATGAATCCGATCCAATCAGCTTTAACCACCTATTCAAATACAACAATCCAAAAATTAAGCCGATCTGACCAGAAAAAATATACAAGTTGTTTGATCGAATCTAATTCGATACGACAATTATTATAAACAGCATATTAAATCAAAGATTTTCTTACGAACTGACTACGTGATTTCTGTTTTTAGCCAATATTTTGTGGCGTTACCTCAGTGGTTAGAATGGTCGCAATATCAATTATTAATTATTATTCAGTTTATCAACTTAATACTATTGTAACTTAAAAATTCTGTGATGGACTATGATGGCTATTACATAAATCTATAATAGTTTAACGTACACATAATACAAGTACGCTGTTAGGAGTGGACTCAAACTTGAGAGGTTTACGTGCTCAGACTCAGTATTCTAATATATCTAGGTAGTGATTTTTCAAAGAAATGTTTTCTTATCTTTTTTAGTTTTTATTAGTTTATTTAATATATTATAATTCAATTCACTTACACAGTTAAACGTCTTGTAAGACTTTTGAAAATATTCAAATACCTTATTATAGCTATTATAACTGTTACTAAACCTGCTGATACCAAAACTTTAACCTGTTAAAAACAAATTAATAGGTACTAAGTTTATAAAAAAAATAAAACTTTTTTTTAGCAATTAATGTTTTTATAAGAAATAAATATTTACAAATTTCTTAATACTTAATAGTACCTATATAGTATGTATAGCATTTAATATACAAATGGTTGTTAATTGGCTTTCGAATAAACATAAATAAACAATCTGAATTCCGCACTAGTACATATTCTCATCAAAAGTTTTATTACATTAATTTTACTATTTATCACGGATTAAATTCATTAACATAGATGAAGAATATATCCATGTCTCTATAGATTAACCTTTAAATTTTTAATACATATACCTATATCAACTGCTTAGTTCAATCATGAACTTATATTATTACTTATTTGGTTTGGCTCAATAGAAGTGGTTAAAAACTGTTAACCAATTAAAAATAATAAATATTAGAAATATCGTCAAATGTTCAGCTGTTCAAGGGCTCCCATCTCACAGCGTACTACAACCGCACACAAGCACATATTATGATCAGTCAAATGATCCCATAAATCGTCTATTTTAATAACATTAAAAGCAAGATTTTTTAATTTGTTTGCTAGTTTAAAGGTAAAAAGATTAATTTACCAAAGAGCATTTGTTTTTTTAAAAACATTTTTCAGCCCAATTAGGACCAAATTTTTTTTACAAATAGCCTGATTTTGATCTGGCCCAAATATTTATTTTGAATTAATTTAAACGATCCGAACAGTAAGTTCAAATATCCGATATACGAACCATTTCAACTCGACTTTGAATTGAACTGAATCTCGGATCGGACATGGTACTTAAGAAATATTAATATAACTTACATTAGATGTTCACACATTAGAAATAAAATATCAAGATAGTACAAATTAATGACTTGACTCTTTATTACCAATAATAGCTCAGGTTGTGCTAAATTCATTTGTATAACTTTAGATACTTATACATATTTATATACATAATTAGTAAACATAAATTAATGTATCGTGACATAAATTTTGCTACCTACAGGC